CGAAGGATGTATTTGTTAGAAGTCTCTTTCTTCAGATTGGGTACCAAATCAAATCTTAAAATCGATTTTGTTGCTCCGGTGTCGACTGTAATTACACATTCTCGTTGATCAACTTTTCCGTTCAGCCATAGGTCGTTTCGATTTCGATGTAGTCTGGAAACGTTAATTACGGTACTGGGGGCGTCAATTCTACTAGCCAACCTCTGCCCCACAAAGTTGGCTCTTATTAGTTTTCCGCCCCTTCGTTAGAAGGGGCCGATCGTGATACAGGATCATCTTCTCTTCTTTTGCGCCATCTTGTCGCGCAATTTCGGCAGTAGTTATCTTTTAGGCGGTGTTTACAATCACGACGTAGATGGCCTTTTTCACCACAAATCCAGCATTGGGGTACACCATGCTGTTGGGGTTCGCGTTTCACAACCACCTTCTGGCAAGAGCATTTTTCATGTACTTGGCGTAGACGTACGTCACTTTTTGATGCTTGCTTTGCCGATTAAAAAGTGAGACTGTGCGCAACGGCATCCTTGAGTTTTCGTTTATCTGACAAGAGAAGGGATTGCTTGAGTTCCGAATCACGAAGGGCTTTGATAAACGTATCCAGGGCAGTTTCGTCTCTATGTTCGGGGTCTGATGTCGGATACGACAGCAATGTCAACCGTTCGATATCTTGTGCCAGCTGCTGAATGGATTCACCAGATCGTTGCGTTCTGTTTCTAAGCTGAGACCGATAAATCTGTTTCATGTGTTCTTCACCATAACGTAAATCCAACGCGCTAACCAGAACTTCATAGTTGAAGTGGTTCTCCGCCGGAATCGTCTGAAGAACCTCTGCTGCTGAACCTCGCAGAGCCAGTATCAGTGCTGTTGCTCGTTCTTTTCCGTTCCAACAGTTACTAGTTGCCGCTGCTTCAAACTGGGTTTTATAAACGTTCCAGGACATCTCTCCGTCAAATGCTGGTACCTTCAAAGTTCTTCCGGATGCGTGATCTAACGGCATGGCCATTTTTTTTGGATTGCTCCAATTCTCGCTTCAATTTGTCTATCATGTGATCTACCTCAACGGTCTGACGATCAAGTTTCTGCTCGATCATTTCTATTTTTGTTGACTGTTCTTCAATCTGTTCTGCCACTTCCAATTTTACGTGTTTTAGCTGGTCCTTGATTTGTTTTAACTCCTCTGTCTGTCGTTCGCACTGTTCTTTGATCTGTTGTTTTAACTCTTCTGTCTGTCGTTCGCACTGTTCTTTGATCTGTTTTAACTCCTCTGTCTGTTGTTCGGACTGTTCTTTGATCTGTTCGGACTGTTCCTTGATCTGTTGTTTTAACTCTTCTGTCTGTCGTTCGGACTGTTCTTTGATCTGTTTTAACTTCTCTGTCTAACGTTCGAACTGTTGTTTTATTTCAGGTGACATACTAAGCAGAAGTTTCATCATTTTAGCGGTTGTAAACGTGCCTGTGCTAATTTCATTGTCTTCGTCAGCACCATCAAACTTGAATTCGTCTGGGTTCTTACCTTCGTCAATGAGAGCTTCTCTCAGACGTGCTACTAGTACTTCTTTGTTGCCACTTTTGACAAGGCTTCGTTTCTGTAGTTCTTCTCGTAGCTGAACTACGTTCAAACCACACAGTTTTGACATCGTGTTCTTTTTCTATGAGTAGTAATTCACTAGTTGAAGATCCCACTTCTGACACCAATGTTATAATACTCGCTGTCGTAACCGATTTACGATGCGATGGGTTCAAATCTTCGATTGAATAAAATACTCCAAACATTTATTCGTTATTAAACTTTATTTACAGAAAAAATCAACTAATCGTTTATTTTTAGCAAATTCAAATTAACGCAACAATTAACTTTTAAATTGTTTAAAATCTATCGCTATGACAACGTCAACAAACAAATCAAATATCGCTTTAAATAATTCACCGAATCGCTATTCACGAAATCACAAAATCACGAATTTCACTAATCACGAAATCACATAATCACGAATTTCACTAATCACGAATCTTCTTGCGACGTGCGCTTATATACTCTTCGCAAGCGTCGTTTCTAGATTCTTCCAGATGGTCCGATTCTAGCATACTCTAGAATGCTCCAGTCACTAGAACATTCCAGAATACGCTAGAATCTAGTGCGTTCGGTATCACGGTTATAACAATATATATATATATATATATATATATATATATATATATATATATATATATATATATATATATATATATATATATATTAATTAAACAAAATGCTGAAACATGGTCTTTTTACTAAAAATCATCACCAACCAATCATATTCGTGATCTTGACGTCAAAATAAACGACATTCCAATCAAACAAACCGATCGATTCAACTAAATTTTTAGGAATTATAAATGACAGCCTTTTTTGGAAAGGCCACAAAATTTAACATCAAATAAAATAATTGTCGGTATAGAATAAGGACATAATATTGATTGTGTGGTCTTCAATAAAATAAAGAAAAAAACATTAAAACAGGATGTGGATTAAAAAAGTATGCTGCTGCAACTCCGAAGTATATTTAGAACGCCAGTTCCTAGCTAAATCATGTATGTCACCCCTCTGTTAGGTTAGGCTTGTTAAATTTTCTGGAATAGTTTCTCTTTTTCCCAAAATAGTTTTAATTTTACCCTAGTTTGAATATGACCACTCTGAAGATGTGCACAGACAGAGCTTCCAAGTCACATCAGTTAGTGTACTGTTTCAGTTTTATAGCATCAAATTTTCAGATGTATTGTAATAATTTACATAAAGTATTGTCTAAATCTAACGAGTAACAATATTTTAATCTTTCAAATTAAAATAGTGTGACGACGTTTCAATAGGAAAACCAGATAAATTGAGTCGTAAATAGCAATTTCAACAAAAATGCGGTAAAGTTTGATAACAATGACATCTTCAATAAACTCCACTCATGTTGATATTATGATATATATACCTATCCATAAAATCTGTACATGTGCTTTCTTGTTATTTGTTTATTTATCTCATACAAGAAATAATGTCTTCCATTTGTTTTTGAGTATTTTTATCAAACTCGTTCAACTGGCTGAAAAAAAATTAATTTTTAAAATATTTAGCTTATATTAATCCGACATTTTCATTATATTAAAACTATTATGTTCGAAGTATCAAAATTATTTTTGTGAGAAGATTTTAAAGCATAACATACTTTTGGAGTTTGTCAATTTTTGCTTTAATTTTACGATACGATTCGGTTGACTTGTTATTCATTAAATTAGAATTCAAATCTGGAGATTGAAAAAATTAAAGATATCAAATTGTTTCTTTCAATTCCCTTTAACTTCTAGTTTTGAATGTAAAATTTTTTAAACTTTTCCATTGACTAAAACAACTAACGAGCCAAATATAAATAAATAAGTTAATTTAGCAGACACATCCTATTTGTTTTTTTAAGCTAAAACGTTTTGTATACTTTGTTGAGCATTAAATAATATTTTATGATTATTATTTTAGAAATTTTAAATTGCCTTCCTATCTGACGAACTGCAGAATGAGCATTTGATAAAAATAATTTTGTGTTTTAAACCTGTAGACAGCAATGCAGCAGACGTCCGAAAGACCTAATCACATTGAATCAACGTAAAATATAAAACGAAAACTAATTCATAACTCATGAAGTAATAACAGTTTTCAATCAATGCATAATTGTTAAATGAGTATTAAAATAAGAAAGTGTATTCCTTAAACATACTTGTCCAAACATCAGAGAGATCCCAGGCTAAACTTTGAGATGTTGATATTTTTGAATCCGTGTTGAGAGTTGTTGCTGACATTGTTTGAACTAATATAGATGAATGCAATGCGTGATTTCGTTTGATTTAATAAAATTAATTGCACTCATCCATCTTATTTCATTTCTGAACTTATTAATGTTTATATTTTAAAATACTGAAGAAATAATTTAGTGAAACGTTAAGGCGATAGAAACAGAAATTTAAAAAAATACATTACCAGAAGTTGTTATGTTGCTACTATCGTTGTGCTTTTTATTATCTTGTAATACTGGATTATTTATAACAGGTTTCAGCTGTATTTCAATTGTTTTCAATTTTAATACTAATTTAGACTCTAACAAAATTAAAAACAATTACTATTATAAAAATAAATATAAAAGAATAATAAAATTGGATAAAACCAGAAATTTTTTTCGTAGTATTTTTCAAAAGTATCAACAACGAATGTAACGAAATACACGTGAATTAACGCATCACACATATCACATTATATACACCATGACGCCTCTCAAAACAATTTAGGTTAAGTGATTCGCATCAGACGCAACAAAATGTGCTCTATTTTTTCATGACAAACAGGCCCGGTTCCGGAACTCTTTTGTGCATAAGCAACACGTGAATATGCCGCCCCTCTCCAATAAATTTTCATTTGAAATTTACACAAACTGTATTTAATACTGAATTTTCTGCCTTTAAATTCAGAAATATTTTTATCAATTTCCCCATATCCACTTGATCAATTTTTTTCGAGTGAAATGGTAACAAGGCCAACCAAATAATTTTGGCATATCTGAGACCTCAGATATGATTTTATTATTTTTAACTTTGAAAAACTTCTTTCGACGCTAGCAACTATGACCGGTAACGTTGTTAAATAATTCGAAGAGCTATCGAAAGGTTAGGAAATACTTAGACAAATTTCGATGAATAAAGGAATTGCAAAACATTTTTTGGATCGCTTTTTGATGGTATAAAAAGTTTCCCTATACCTTTCTTAGTTTCACAGTTCCTATCCGATGTTAGTGCTAATTGTGAGTCCTTACAGCGTTTTAATAATTCCTCACCCTTTAAATTCGTGCCACCACTTTTGGAAGTTTTGATGAATTCAAATTTTGTATGTAACTCAATATGACTTGAATCAAATTTTATTATTAAGCTTAAATATTTTGTATGTATAAAATTAACATAAATAATACACACGATACAAATCAAGTTAATCATCAAAATATAAATAGACCAGTAAAACTAACTTCGGAATTGATATCGAACGTAACAACAAATTTTTTGCAGAAATCACTAGCGAATTCCGGGTAAACTCTGAAAACATCAACAATATCCGAAATAGCGATTTTGTGGATATCACAATAGGAGAGTGCTCTGACTGAATATTTAGATCTGAATCCCAAACACGATGATAAATTAATTTTGTCTTCAAGAGTTTTTGAACATTCTCCAAACGTGTCGTTCTTAGCTTTATAATTGAGTCAAATTTATTCTTTTGTAAGCAAAATAAAAGAAAGCAAAATATTAAAAAAACCACTAACTTAATATAGCAACAACAACGCATTCTTTTGAAATTTCTATAGTTCCTCGTAACACGAAATAAATGGCCTTAGTCAAATCATTTTGGTGTATTATTTCTTCGCCAGGAAGAAAATGAACAGATTTTATTCGAACCGACAACATACGTAGACAACCTATTTATGAAAATGTTAAAATATCAATTAACCAAAGGTCACCGATTTAGTAGTCTTTAAAATAATCGATACAATATTTCCAAAAAACTTCAATTCACGTTAGAGTCCCGTTACTTCATAACTTATTATCCTCATGTTTTAAATTGTAAAAAGCTATTATTGTTCTATTTCGTACGCTGATCGAATTGGAAAGCCGTCAGGGAAATGTGTTTCTTTAAAATTAACTTTCATAATCATGAGTGATGTCCATGTACGATGTGTAATGAACATTCTCAAACGTATAATTTTCTTTTGTTGAAACTTAGTAGGGGCAAATATTTGTAAACAGTTATGCTTAGAAAGTAAAAATCACCGAAAATTGACAAATAACCGAGCGAAGTGTCAGCTAACAATTTCTGTGTATAAGAAATTTGCTCTCAATCGGCCTTTGACTCTTCTTCATTTTGCAATTTTGCATGCATGTTTTATTTATTTTTAATTCTGTCCAACGGATCTATTACATTTTTCACATTTCATTATAAGATACAGACATTTCTCGTGCGTAGCTATTTTTTCGTCAGTATATTGTGAAATTGTTAGAATCGGTATTTAAAAAGCCTGAGTTTAAATAAACTAACTGGTTGACTTTTTCAATTTTTCACATTTTATTCAACATTCTGCTCTGTCTTTACTTCCTTTCAAAATTATCCCTTTCTTAAATATGTGTCATTTAATTTGTTTCTGATAAGTTTCTGAACAGAACACTAACAGATCAATATCAGCAGAAAACCTGAAATTTCCTCCAACATCAATTCAATTTTTTTTTTTATGACATTTTTCAATAGTGACTTGTGAGAATTGTGTTCTTGGTTCACTGAGACTGCTTTCGATTCCTGTTCCGATCCTATCATCAAATGTCTCATTGTTTCTAACATTACGTTGTATCAAAAATGTGCCATCCGCTCCTTGTTTCAATTCAATAGTGATTATAGAAATATTAAAATGTATTGGTGTGTATTAGAGATAATATACAAAATAGCCAAACATCAGACTGGGTTTAGTTAATTATGATGAATTTATCTAGCTTTATTGCTAACATTATCATTAAAATAATTCTATTTACCTGGACTGCCCGATTGAAATGCAGAAAATTTAGAGAAAAGAATCCTGTTTGTATGAAGACAAACGTCTGCTTGCAAACCTTCGGGGAAGCTTTGTAAAACCTATTTGTAATTTTCATGTTGACAATAAAATTTAAACAAATTAACCTACAAATACATGATCACATACATGTTGTCTGTTTGACTGAATGTCTTCATTTTGAAGTTCAATAAAGCTATGGAAACGTTTGATTGATAACAAATTTTTGTTATCTTATAAATGAAAAAAAAAACTTCATTGTTTCCAAAAAAATTAAAATATTACCTTGTTCATGTCGACGCCATTAGTTTGCCACCAGTCTTCCTGTGTGATGTCTTGAAGTTTGCTGGACAACATTTTTGGAATTCTGTGAAACTTAATGAAATCTTTGATGCTGGCACTCTTGTCGTGGAACTCCTTGTTCCCTCTGTACATCCGATGCATTATTGTGGCTACATTCCCAAAAATGGCAGCATTCGCTAATGCTATTAAAACATTGATTTATTTCTTTCAATTATGTTCACAAATTTAAAACATCGATTCTAATTTAAAAAGTCCACAATAATAAATGTCATAAATAAATTAAGACAGTTATCTCCTGTCATCTTGTCCTTTATTTCATCTAATCTAGAGAATTAAACCAGAATTGTTATATGGTATTCTTTCTGTGACAAGTTGTACTGAAGTGAAAGGAGCGTTGATGCCATACATTTGTTATAATTTAAACAGGGAAGGCTTATGGATAATGACTCGTGAGAGATAAAAATAAAATATAAATACGCATATGCTTCTTAGCCACCTTTTTACGTTAGTTAGTACGGGGTCTAACTCCATTTTTCTACTCTTTGAAAGTTGAATGATGATAAAGTCATAGAAGGAACTATTTAACCGTAATATAGTAAAACATTAAATTCTGAACATATCAATGAGTCAAACTTCGCTAACAATAACATTTTTGATTTTGAATGTTTCCTGATATGTGAAACTTTTCTGGAATAAAACGAAAAATTGTATAAGGCGGTGTTTTAAGAAAACATTTGTTAGACAAGTTTTTGAACAATTTTATATGATTATTTGTTACCACCAAAACGAGAAACATTTTGAAATGTACAACGCGATCCCTCAATAGTTATACCGTCGCGTTGCTCATTGCATGATTATTATTATTATCTTATTTTATTTTATATCATAATTAAATTAAATATGAATGGTTCTACGTGAATCACCTGTTATACAACTTAGCACCATAATTTTCATTGAAACAATATTTTATACTATATAATTTTTGCGTATATGGTTTTCTTTGTATAAAGTTTGCATGAAATTTAATTTTAAACCCAATGTATTTTCCAACAGTACTAGTGGCAAATTAAAAAGAAACAAATTAAGCTTTTACACGTTGTTTTGAAAATGCGTAGATTGTTTTCTTAATAAACAATGAATATCAAGCTATATTAAACTGGGAATTGGACGGGAGATAACTCGCTCGCTGCAACAACATCGGATATGATGAAATTATTTTTTTTGTCATTTTCAAAAAAATACACATCAAAGAATTTTTAAATATAAAACAAGTTATTTATTAATTACAATTAACTTATATAGATATTTAAAAATATTTAACTATCAAATTATTTTGAAATCTTTATTAAATTTATTCACAAGTTTTTTAATTTAAATTAAACAGGTTTTTTAAATTAAATTACTAAGTTTTTTATATTTATTTACCATAAAAAAAAAACTTACAGCCGATTATCATAGCTCCTATAGCAAACGTTTTCTCCCAGTCTGTGACCGGTGCTATGTTACCGAAGCCAACGCTGGTTAAAATAGTGAAAGTGAAATATAACGAGGTAATATATTTGGAGTGTATGTCAGGACCGCTGTTCGAATTGTTGGCATAATAGTAGTTCCCTGACAAGAAGAATGTGTTTTTCTCGTTTTTATTTAAATGATTATATTGATACACCAACTCTACCTACCCGTTTTATTCGCTAAATAATCCAGCCATCCAATCGGATGTTTTAATGAAAGACGTTCACTAAAAAATATTTTTACTGTAAATTTATAGGCAATGATTATTGCTAGAATAAATGTTAACCTTTCTGCAAGTATGTAGAAACCGCAGGCCAACCAGTGAGCCAACAATGTAATCATTGCCATGAAAAGCAGCAGCAATGATGCTCCATACTCTGAATAGTGATCCATTTTGCGCGCAACTCGAAATAAGCGCAATAATCTGGCGGTTTTCATCAAACTGGTGGCTGTCACTGTCTGCAAAGAATAAAAACCGATTTTCAGTCGCAAAATCAGGAAAACAATATTTAAAAATAAAATCTATGTGAAAAAAGAAATTATTTTTATCACGATTATTAATTATAATTAGTATCGTGTATAAACTTACATCACTTTTCTTGTATAACGTAACAATAACATCAAATGGGACAGCAGATAAGAAATCAATGATAAACCAACGTTTCAAGTAATTAATGGCTATCTTTTTTGGGCAAGTTATAACTTCTCCATTATCGAGATAAGTTGTTCGGAAGTTGCATAACATGTCGAGGAAAAACAAGAAATCTACGATAGAATCTATGATAAGGAATGGGTCCGAGAAAAAATGTCCGATGAACCTGAAATAAATTGGACTAGGTTGAAAATTATGTTTTGAATCAGCTAGTTTAATTTACTGTATGATTGTTGAGTTGTCGTCATTCGTCGAACTTTTATTACTAAAATTAAATCCATTTTCATAAGGCTTAAAAGCGGCCATGTATGGCGTTAAAACAGCCACGTACAACACGAGAACAAGAATTAACCAGTCCCAAGCACCTTTTAAAGGTGAATTATGTGGAATGATGAATTTTTTTATCGAATCGCTCAAAACATTGTGTCCTTGACTAAAGTTAGTACTTCCATAATCGTAGGAAATTATATTGAAATTCAAATTGTTAATTTCTTCTTGAGGTGTTATCAATTCTTTCGTCTGTTTGAAAATGTTAATAATTAAAAAATACAACAAAATTCATAATTTTACTTGGAAGGAATCAGATTTGAGATCTTTGGAAGACGTTATACATCCTCTTCGGCCTCTGCTCATCAAATATCCATCTGATTTTGTCATCGTTCATTAAAAATTTCTGTTGAATATAAAATTGATTTTTTTTATCGAAAAATTTTATTTAAACAAATTTTCAATCTAGATAATTTTTTAAAAGGGGTTTGGACACAATCGTTGATTTAATTTCAAATAATTCGCGTATATATCGTGTGTATATGTATTGAATATATTATAATCCCGTGTAGCACTCGATATATGTATATATAAATATATATATAAATATATATAAATATATATAGAGGCTTTTATATATATATATATATAATGTACTATAAAAATATACATTATATATATATATATATATACAAATATTGTACAGTTTTGTATGAAACCTACAGATTTGTTGACATTAAAACAATCTAAAGTTTGTTTTTGCAATTTTCCTTACTAGAATTTTCTGGAAATTGTTCAACTTATTGAAAATAGAATTATTATTCAAGTTCATCATGAAAATTTAATGAAGCTGTTGTTATCTAAATTTATCATGCCAACAGGCCTTATTTCGATTTTTCACAAATCATCTTCAGTGCAGGTTTGCTTTATACAGTTTCTTTAAATGAAGCAAGGTTTGTTCTTTAGCAAAGTTATTAGTTGGTGTCGTATTCTTTATCAGTTTTGTTGTCATTTCTTTGTTCTTCAGTCTTATTGAAGTTAGTATTAAGGCGTCGAGTTGGTAATGACGTAATCATTCTTCGTTGGATGTTTATTTGGGGTTTATTGATATCTATTAGGGGTTTAGACTATCATAAATACAATTATTTATAAAGATCACTGCGTTTTCGGCATTATTCAACTTGTAGAGTTTCTCAATTTTTCTAACGAGACTTTCATCATCTTGATGAAGTTTATTAAGGTCAAATAAAAAACTTTTAAAATTTGACATTTTTGACAAAACATTATTAATAACGTTATTACTACAGAAAAGCTCTTTTCGGCATCAACTGCCATCATCAGTGTACTGTGTTGGTGTTTTGATAAATTACATTTATGTTGTTGTCAAGAATTTGGCGGGTTATTGTAGTTGAATGTGTTGATTGTGAGATTTGATGGCTCCTCTTTGTTTATGCATTATGAGACGTCTTGATAGTGAAGTGTACGAATGTTGTGGACGCACACAGTCGTCAAAAGGGCGTTTAAATAGTTTACACTTCAAAGTAGAGTTGTCTTTAGGAGTGCAGTTGTTCTTTAGGACCAATTGTGATGTCTTACAATTATTGTAATATATCCCGAGTTTTTTTTTAATTAGTATCATTGATTGGTGTAACATTTCTTTTTATGATTTCTTTGAGGCCGCTTCGTCTTTTTTATGTGCCGTTGACATACGATTTCTCTAATATAGGATTATGTCGTTGTCAATGTTGTTTTTGAATATATTGCAATAATGTTGTTGTCTTTGTTGAATGGTGCTTTCTATGGATGTTTCGTACCCTGGCTTACCAGTAGATTTGTAAATCTTTTCAGTTCCGTATTGCGATCTTTAGTTGAGGATGAATGCGTAAATGCACGGTTCACGAAGGATTTTATTGTGCTTATTTTGAAATGTTCCGTGCATTTGCTTAGCCCATTTAAACAAATACCTTTATTTGTTGCTTTGACGTATACGGGGGTCGTAAATCTTTGTTCGTCATGCATTACCAAAACATCCAGAAGTGGCTATGAATTTTCACTTTCGTGTTCAATAGCGAAATTCAATTTTGGTCGGTTCAAAGTTGCTAGTAGCTGGTTGTCTTGTTCAGGATCATTGTATGCGACGAAGATATTGTCAATATATCTGGCATATGTATTTCGTACCCGATATGTGTGTCTCTTTCTGCTTCGTAGTTGGTCAATGAGCTGGTTAGTCGACAATCAAAAAAAGGATCAAAAAAGGTTGAAAGTCGATTTCAGAGAAATCAACAACACGCCACTAACATCGTATACGAATACATGCTAGACGACGCATCACACACGAAGCATGTCATAGGCGGGATTTTTTAGTCATATTCGAACCAAGTCACTGCGCTCACTGCTAAGCATCACCATGCCACTTTAACCACTAAGCAATCACACCGCCCCAATCAGCTGGATCATTTCAATAAAGGTCGGGTTGCGTAACTTTTTAACCCATCTCCCTATTTGATTTTGCAAATTGATTTAATATCGCCATCATGGATAAAAAACATAGGTCATACATTTTTCGTAATATTACATCTCATAAGTCGTTCTGTTTTTTAGTAGTGTAATTTGCTTTTAAAACATTACCTTTTATATTTAACATGGGCAAAATCAAAAAACATCAGAAAATGTCATAAAATTTTTTAAATAATGGTTAAATTATTGTACGAGCCATGGCGGATCTACGGAGGTCATAGACCCTTGTGAGATGTATTTTATTAAGCCAGTAAAACTCAGTTTTTACATGGGAAAACACCGTATTGCATAGAAAAACTGACCACAAGTTAGTGTGATAAGGCAAAAAGATAAGAAGCCACCAGTCTAATTTTGGCGACAATAGCAAAAATTTTAGTTTCTTAGCCTCCTCCCGTCAAATTTCAACATTTTTTTAAAATTTTGGCTGTCTCCCGTCAACGTTACCTCGATCCGCCATCGTGAAGTTGAAAGTTAAAGTGCAAACTATAAAATTACAAATTCAATTTTTTACCATTATTATTGCAACAAATATTTTTTTTAAATAATTATGACATTGATTATTGAAATTTACTAAAATAAAGTTACCAACATTTCAAATGTTAAAAAAATTTGAACAATTATGAGAAATAATAGTTTAAATGATCAGCATTCTTCGGCTTTAAGATGCATTTTTCTTGTAAATTGATCACCCAGCCAGGCTGCAATCCATGCCATATCTGTCTTGGATCCTTCTTATTTGAATTTATATCGACGGCATCAATTAATTTGTAACCATACTTTTGAGAAAGATCAAATCTGCATTTTTTAGAAACATTATTACATATTAATTAATTTATATAAATCATCATATATACTTTTATACATCACCATTTTAAGAAACATTATCTAGAAAAAAAATTTTATGAGATCATCGTATATCACCATGGCAGGTTCACCACTTTCATTTCGTTTACTTCAAATGTTTCTTTATATACATGTGTTTTTCCCAAAATCAGAATTTAAAATCAGAGTTTTAATTTTGCATAAGAAAGAAGGAAAGATTTTAATTTATTTTAATTTTTCAAAAAATAATTAGAGCAGCTACAAATTAAAACTAAATTATTATTTGTGTGGACAATTCCAACCATAAATATATTTACACGAATGAACATTCCGTCCGAATGTAAAAAGATTTCAAGCTTGATAAAATTTCTCAAAGCTCAAGTTATTTTTTTAAATCAGCGCCAAACATGGGGTGCAAATCTGAAGCACTTGAAGACAAATTAGCAAGCAACCATAATCGTTAAAATAGACTATGGTAGCTCAGTTCAAAAAGAAAATCCTATCTGAAAATTCTTCAACCAAATTATCAATGAGTCATTAGGAATTGTTTGGAAGCCCATGAAAAAATATCGCCATCCAGTAGTTTACATGTTTTGCCAGAGTAAAAAATATTAGCAATAATATTAGCTAGCATCAAAAGCTTATACAATACCATATCAAATGTTTCAATACCATACTAGATTTAAGAAACTGGTCTATAAAGACACAATGGAAAATGGCAATATGAATGGCACAAAATAACAACTTTTATTATATTGACCACGCCCACACAACCAAACATTTTTATTGTTGATTTATTTAAAGTCTTTGGAATATTTTTTAAAGTTACTAATCGTTTAATTGCATATGTTACTATTGATTTTAATGGACAGATGTTGTATTTGTGAATTTCTTTTAATTTTTTATAACATGTCTTTTTTGTCTATTCTTTAAAGTCATTCGACTATTATCATTTTCGTTTTCATATTGTAACTAGGGACCGATTCGTTTAAGGTTATTCTTTTTCCGTTCCCTTTTTGTACACAACATTATTTTATTTTTTGTGTGTGCAAATAAATGATTTCTGATTGTGTTCTGCATTTGCTTTCTTTCATTATACTCAATATACAATGTGCTTATTTTATTACTTTAATTTCTATGTAAATCATTTTTACTTGATTTTTAGCTTCGTTTGTTAATAAGATGCTATTGTCTTACACTATTATACTATTGTGTTTAGGTTCTTTTTTTTAATTTTTCACATTCATCTTACACCTTTGGTTTTAATGTTTAGGTTCTTTTTTCTTTCATTTTGTATTTTAAACTTTGTCTTACACCATTGATTTTAATGTTCAGGTTTTTTATGATTACTGCGTTTGTGATTATGTGCACTTGGTCAATTATATTTTAAGTTAAACATTTTGTACCGTTGATTTTAATGTCTAAATGTCTATATATATGTATATGTATGTCTGTATGTGTATGTATGTGTATATATAAGTGTAAGTGTGTGTACATATGTGTGTGTGTATATGGGTGTGATTGAATGTGTTTTTTAGATTGAAATTGATTAAATGGTAATCTGCAGATTTATTAATAGGTTGAAAATAAATCACACAAAACTGACTTATTTCTGGATCATTAACAAAACAAAATTACCAACATGCATAATCAACAATGAAAAACTAACCATACAACACATATTGACTGAATGTTATAGGTTATAACGATATGAGGAAGAGACACCAGATTTCATCAGAAATAAAAACCTTCAATAGAATTTGAATATACGATGAAATGAAATTGGAAAACAAAACCAATTATTCAAATAGAACAGGGGACGTAAAGAAAGTCGTTTGCCTTGAAGCGCCATTTAACTGCATAAAACAAAATATTATTCTCAAATCCAAATGACAAACCACCACAATTTAATTAGACTCAAGTATATTTTGTTGTCTTAAAAAGTTGACAGCTGAACAAGAAAATTGAATTGTTTAAAAAAGATTTATCGCTATATTTCTAAAGTACAACAGAATTACACTAACAAACCTTGCTTTTTCGATGAGTTTAGGATCTGCAAGGTAGCCCCTATTTGCAGGATTTGTGTAGTATTCAACTAAATCCTGTGGTGGCAATTTGCACCTCGGAATCGAGAGGCCCCTTTTGAAAAAAGTTATTGGATCAACCATGGCTTCGACACACTTCATGTCATAAAATCTGCTCGTCACCACTCCGCCATTCTTTTCAATGGCAGCTATGGCCATTTCGGATATCCATTGCACTTCGATATTAACCCGAGCTTTAAAGCAATCAACACCCTGAGAGATTATTATTTTGCAATTGTAATCAGTGGCAGGTGATAAAAATTAAAAAAATTTAAACAGTTTTCATGCCAAGCCCAAATTAAGCATTGATAACAACGCACGCAAAATAATAAATTTATAATTGTAGCTGTTGAATTAAAAAAATTATAAATTGAACCTCTTTAAAAATTACACTTCTTATTTTCATTATGGGGCTGTCCATAAAGGATGTCACGCTTTTTAAACGTTTTTTTGAACCCCCCTCCCACGTGTCACAAACTGCCATAAATCGATCAACCCCCCAAAGATAAGCATGTGACAAAACTTTAGCCCCCCCCTCTTTTAGTGAAGAGTCATTATACAATGTAATTGTTCTATGCATTTTATTTTTTATTGATATCAAAATAACGAATGACAAGTTTATATGAAGATAGTTTGGTATCAAAATGCTTTACCGTAGTTAAAATATAACGAATTAATATTAACTTCTACACCTACACAGTGGTAAACTTTAACGATGGCATTTAAATTTGACTCCTCCTTTAGTTAATTAATTTAAAAAAGGGACGTCACACTTGCGTGACCCCCCCATAAAGCGTGACATCCTTTATGGACGGCCCTTATTCCTAAACATTAAATCAACAAAATAAATATCGAGCCTTTGTTTGTAAAGTTAATCATGGATAATTTCAAAGAGTTTAATACAGATTTGAATGGTGAAAAATATGAAAATGGCGTATATTTTATTTCATTTTACTCAAGTTTATGAAATTTTGTGGGTGAAGTTTCAATATAACGTAATGGAATTCCTAAGCAACAATGTTTTCTTGCATTTGTTCTATTGATCACTTAAGAAAATTTGATATTCGTTTCGTTATATAAAATGGGCAAACATTTGATTTACCAATCTGATTAAATCAATATATCTGTATGTATACCAAAATATTCGTTATCATCTCGAAAACGATTATCATAATTTATGTTGCAGCGAAAAAACAAAACGTATGAAAGAGTTTAGAAATGTCCTGGTTATGACATTAAACTGACCCTCACTGCCTTGTGAGTGATGTTGGATCATCAAAGGCTAGGCCCACCGCTTATAACTGTGGTTGCGTAAGGAAGGGCGTCCTGTGTAAAAACTAGCCAAATAATAAATGCTTATGATGATGACGGAGAAAACAATGGCCCTCAGTATCCGGCAGAAGAGGGTGCGAAGAATCTCCGGAGACCCAGTCGATGGGGTTGTGGTGCAAGGCCCTGTGGATGGTCTGGCTACTGGCACCCCACTCTATAGTGTGGCGGTGCAAGGCACTATAGATGGAAGGACTACTTGTAGACCAAGGGGTTGGAGGTTTGGTACCTGGAATGTAGGCACGTTGACAGGAAGAAGTTTGGAAGTGGTGGAGGAGCTGCAGAGGAGAATGGTTGACGTGGCTGCATTACAGGAGGTCAGATGGAAGGGTGAGGGTACAAGGTTTGTGGGGGCTAAAGGTGGAAGATATAAGTTGTGGTGGAAGGGGGATGATGGTACGGGAGGAGTTGGTGTGATGGTAAGAGAAGAGTTGTTGGAGCAGGTGTTGGAAGTGAGGCGGAGAAGCAATGGGGTAATTGTGGTGGTGATGGTGTTTGGAAAAGTAATAGTGAGGGTGATATCAGGATATGCTCCGCAACAAAGTAGGAAGGAAGAGGAGAAGGATAGGTTTTATGATGATGTTTCTGACGAAATTGGGCAAGCGGGGTTGAATGAGTTTGTGGTGTTGTTGGGTGATTTGAATGGTCATGTGGGGGCGGATGCAGACGGATATGAAGATGTACATGGGGGATGGGGATATGGTATACGGAATGAGGAAGGGCGTAGAGTGTTGGAGTTAGCGGATGCACACAGCATGGTGGTGGGGAACACTTGGTTCACAAGGGAACCAGCGCGATTGATTACTTATAGGTCAGGGGAACATAGATCGATGATCGACTATATATTGGTAAGGGCCAAACATAGGAAGTATGTGAAGAATGTGAAGGCGATACCTGGTATGTTGCAGCATAGTATGGTTGTGATGGATGTGACATCAAAAGAAATGGGGAGGAGGAAGAAGGATAAGTTTGTGGCAAAGAGAAAGACATGGAAGTTGCAGGATGCAGAGGTGAGGAAGGCATTTGAAGTGAAGGTGGCTGAAAATTGGGAGAGTGGTAAGGATGGAGATGTTTGGGAGAGATACAGGGACTGTGTGTTGGCTACGGCAGATAAAGTATGTCGATGGACGAAAGGAAAGTGTAGGCATGGTGAGACGTGGTGGTGGGATGAAGATATAAGAAGGGTTTTGGAAGTCAAGAAGGAGAGGTTTAGGGTATGGAGAAGGGACATGACGGAGGAAGCGGAGTGTGAGTATAGGAAGGCTAAGAAGGTTGCAAAACAGGCAGTGGCAACTGCAATGACGAAAGCATCAGATAGGTTAATGAAGGAAATGGAATTTGATGTGAGTTCAAGGAAAATGTCAAAGTGC